TCAGAAAATAACCCTCAAATAATGCAAATCTAGTTCAGTATTTCTTCTCTGTACTATAAATTACTTAAATCACGCAACGTTAATAAATAAGATTTACTACATTAACCTGTAGTGTCGTAGTCCCTCTTCTATCTTTGACGTCAGGTTGACACCGAAGTCAACTGTCTGGTGATGACCACTTGTAGGGAAGATAGCAGGCCCATTTGCGACATCGTTAGCAATTACATCACTCTAAAATATTACAAATGCCGGTAATAAGTGTCAACTCGTTGCCGTTATACACCGGTTACAACGTCCGTTGACCGTGGGGTAATTAACAGAGGCCATGTTCAGCTCACTAATTAAGCATCAATACTTAATCATTAGCGATGTATATTTCAAGACACTTCATTTTCTTTCTCCAAATTCTTTTCTGTTCAAACCATGGACGTTTTTTTTTTGCATGTTCAAACAAACCGAATCGAGCATCAAGTGTTTATCCGATGCACTTCCACTACTGCGGATGTAGAGGTGTTTGAGGGTGTTATTTTTTCTTTAAGTGGTTCATGAATGACGACATAGTTACAAAGCATTATAGCCAATCATGATATTAATTTGTGAGAGCCAACAGAAATAAAGTTTGAACATGAGCATGATTATATAATGATGGTGATTAACCGTACTTAGCAATGCTTGTGACGTCATAAAGTAAATTAGTCAGCAAAAATGTCTGTCTACACTTCTAGGTGTTAATCAACGAATAGTGTCTGTAATGATTGACAAGTACTTGTCCTAATACCTTTCTTCCTGCGCGTCATTTAATGACGTGCGTTTCGGTAATGTCTCAAAGGGTTTTTTTTTTAAAGCCAATTTATTTTTAACTCATCGCAGGGCTTGTACACCCACAAACGGTTTTGTTGTTATCACGTGTTTACCTTAACAACACACGTGTATGTAGACCTATTTTAGTAAACGCGGTGGCTACTACCAATTGGCGATGTAAACAATGAGATTGGCAAAATAACGGCAAAGAGTGAAATCGTTGATAATAATAGATTCAGCTTTGTAATTGCATCCTTAAACATACTAATGGCAAGACGAGACAGGGGTAGTGCCTGTGGGGGCCTGTGATCAGCCCCCACCCCATCTGAGAGCCCCCTCCCCCACACCGGGGAGAAAAATCACAATTTGTCAGGGAGAAAAATATGAAATTATATGTATTTTCTATATATTAGACCTAGTAAACTCTAAAATCGATTAAATTAGCCTTTGAAACCCCCGAATTATCATTCGGGGGCCACTTTCGAAAGATCTAGGGCGACGCCTGAGCACGTCCACTTTGGTTTCGTCGGGATCATCGGCCACCCATTGGTCCTCCGTGGATTTTGTATTATTTTATTAACTTGGCGGATCATGGGAGGATCAAGCAAACACATATTGAACATTTACTCGGTACTTTCGGTGGAGGAAGGGAAATTTCATAATAGTGCTACCATTAATCAGTTTACTTGATTCAAACTAACAAGATTCACACTTTAAATACCAAGGCGGTTTCTATGGGAGGGGGAGTTCTATACCAGTTCGAACCCCCACCCACTTCTAAATATATGAAAGTTAAAAAAAATAATGATCAAAAATATAATATATATATATATATATATATATATACTTTCTCATATACACATCTATATGTGTAAAAGACACTATATATATACATATATATATATATAATATATATATATATATATATATATATTTATTTATTTATA